ATAGTCTTAACTCTTAAGAATCTCATTCTACTGAGTTAAATATTAAATATGTGTTATTAGTTTTTCTTTTTTTTTCAAAGTAGGATTTGATTAGTTATTCGCTATATTCAATTGTCTATATTAAATAAATTTCTTTTCAAAAACAATTAAGAAAATATCTGAGTTAAATATGTCAATACTTTAAAGTGATTTGATCAATCGATTACATCAATAATAATTAGATGAAACTCTCAAAAATTGATGTACAAGCTATCCTTTCAAAAGACAACAAAGAAATAAAGCCCCACTAAATTATTATTATTATTATTATTATTATTGTTATTATAAATTCTAAAATGTTGTAATACATTTTGGATTTTGATTTTTCTAGAGTAATTGATATGAAAAAAATAATTATTTTTGAATTATTGATCTTCTAAAAGAATTCAATTTATGTTCCACTCACAATAATACCAACAATCTTTTTATACACTTCATCGTTTTATATTCTTTTAGTCTCAATTTATAAGATGTATATTTTTTTAATTTATTTGAAAATGTAACAGTATCTCTTTTATTTAGAAATAAATTAATATTAATTTTTTTCTAATAGATTCATCCCTATCACATAAATATTTGTACATTTAATTTATATAATAACTCTCTTGTATTTTAAATTTTATGTTTAATTAAAATCTATCACATAAATTAATGCGAACAATATAATAATAGTCGTCAATTTTTGTACGACAAGACAATACCACCTAAAGGGACCTACATTTTAAAGTTTGCAAACTGTCTTTGTCTAAAAGATCAATTTTTTTATTTTATTTTTTTTTAATGATTTTGGTCCCTCTCTAATAAGTAGAACATTATTTATCGAAATAGAAGGTCAGTTACAATCCGTCTACAAAATTAGATTTGAATATTTTCGACGCAATGTATGTCATTACACACTATTTCGAAAAAAAAAAGTTATGCAGAGATAAGAAGTAAAGTTTTAAAACTCACAATGTGTAGCAACAAATCTTATTTTAATAATTGCGCTATACTGACGATAATATATTCACATATGAGACATCCTTAGGGCTTTGCTTTTGATGGGTTGAAACTCAATTACAATTATATCTTTTTTTTCATACTATTTACTCTATCGCTCTTAATCGGTTTGCTTTAATGACAACGTTTGCATGAAGAAAATGACATCGATTTAATTTCATAAGGAATAGATACCCGTCCATAGATGCTTTTGGTGGTAAGATAGTTTTCAAGGTTTGAACCCGAAACTTCTAAGGTAAAAAATATGAGTACTCTTTTTAAATGAGGTTAAAAGTTAAATAACAATGTGAAAGTGTTAAAACTTCAAATAAATATAGGACCTTAATGGGCTATGAGTGAAAATGGGCCCATTATCACGTGAAGAGCACGAGTTTAATGGGCCAGTGCTGTGGTCGTTATGCTGTTTGATTATGATTTTTTTGAAAATTATATTTTCCTAAAAAGATTTAATTCTGTGGTCCAGACTTTGAAAATTAGAAATAGAAAATATATATTTTTTTAAAAAAAAGATAATTATGTGGATGGACATTATACCTCTAATTATCGGTGGTGGCGGAGTGAAATTTTTTTTTGTAATTGAGATTCGAACGTTGATTCATTCAAGGTGTCTAAGCATATTCGAAGCATTTAAAAGCACGAGGTTATAATAACCTAGTATGTTAAGTATGTTTAAAATATGTTATTTATTTTCATATATTATTTTATTTGTATATACAAAAATAAATTCAAAGAAGAATGTCCAATTAGACACCCTAATATGCGTTAGCCTCCGTTGCTAATTAACAAGTGTTTAAACAAGATAATCAAACATATTTATAATAATGTTTTATTGATTACATGTTTTGTCTTAAATTGATTTTCATATTATATATTTTTAATATATAACTATCTTATTGTAGCAACCAAAAAATTATCCAAACAAATAATATAGTTATAGAAAAGTTTAACTCTATGTGTTTGTTTTGTTATTATAAAAGAGATGTTTGTTATAAGTTTGGAATTATTTAGTATTCGAAAATTATAACTACACCCATTTAATTTTGATGAATAGCCTTATTTGTTTGAGTTTTCGCTTGAATCGAAATCTTTATACATAGATGGGCTTTTGATTTACGTAATGACTCATTACCTATTAAACGTCAGTCGAATCATCTACTCGCGAAATCACCAAATTTGAAATCTTTTTATTATGTACCTCTCAAGCATGTTTTGCTTCTAAAAGACCAAACTTTTAAATTTTCTAATTGATTTGTTTCTCACTTTGAAAACTTATTTATTTAAAGGATTGCACAATGATACCAACAACAAAAACACAACTTCAAAATCCTAATTTATTTATTTTTTTGGAAAAGATGACAAACAATTGCTTTACTATTAAAGTGGATAGTAAGCAAACAAAATTGACATTTAACATAAAACAATGAGAAAAAAGATGAAAAACATTAAATATTCACGAGTTAAAATCAAATATATGAACTCTAATTAATTAAAAGTTACACACAATTGATAATACAAGATATAAATCTTTTAACGATAATTAACACAAATATATAACAGACATGTATATATATATATATATATATATTCTAACTTTAAATTTGCACATTGGTTTCGAATAAATGTTTACTAATTACAATCTCTAGCTACCATTTGCAAAAACAAAAAGAGAAAATTTATTTTTATCAATAATAAAATAATACATGAATTTTTCCCTTTCTAGTATTAATTCTTTCATTGGTTGGGACCATAACATTATGAATAGCTTTTATTTGCAGTCTTAAATATATAGTCTTCCATCGGCAGAACTTAAAATCTTATAAATATTTTCAATCATTAACCATAGTAAACGTTTGTACTTTTTATATAATATAATTAAAAAAATATATATTAAAATTATGTATGCATTATTAAATGTTACGAGTTCACGTGAATCTATCGTTCAAATTCTTACCAGTAGTCGTTACTAATGACTAGAGAAGGTCACTTCATATACCATCATTGAAACAACATATTTGTGGCTATTAAATTCATCCTCTAAAGTGAACAATATCTTCTTCAACCTATTATTATTGGGAAGATCGCGTATATATTAAAAAAAAATCACTTATAAAGTTTAACTATTAAATTTGTGTTTAAAGTGACGACTGTATTAAAATAATATTTTTTTTGGTACCAAATAATTGATATAACATGTCGAGAAATCTTTAAGATATAGTTGTCCCATCTCCCTATACATTTTTACTCACTATTCAACTTGCACAAGATTTAGACATTTTGTGTCCTTTCTATTTTTTGAGGAATTTGATGGTCATTTTCATGTAGATGTTCTTCGATTTTTATTCTATTTTCCTTTTCATAAAATAGTCTTAAATGTAATAATGAATGTCATATGACAATATTAGCTCCTAATTAACTTTTTAATGCAAACAAAAACATTGAATTTTCAATGCATGTCATAGGGATCAAATATTTACCTATGTATATTGCATGAGGTATCTCTTCACTTTGTAAATCTATCTAAAGTATTCTTTTGGAGTTCTAATTTTGCAAGAGAGTACTATTCGTCAAAAAATGTTGTTTTCCTTTTCAAGTGTCAACTTGATTAACTAAGATCTATAAGAACGATCATGTTTTGAAAGCTAAACACCATGGTTATGATAGAGTATTAAGTATATATCTTTAAACAAATGTCTCGGGATGAAATCGTCTTTGTTAAAGAGCGCTACATTGTTAATGTGAGACTTTTTTGCGCTTTTTTCAAATTTAATGTATTTTAAAATTTGATCAAAATTTTCGTAATTTAAATCTTGAGAAATGAAAAAAAAAACTAACAGATAATTAGGAACGCAAGGAGTAATAACACACAATTTTGTGTGGAAATAGAAAATCTAAGAATTGATTCTTGGACCACTAGGATAATAATTCATGAAAATTTCAACAAGTGCATGAATTGCTATTAAATGTCTCTATTCTACACAGTTTTTATGAATATAATATAACTCTAATGAGAAGAATGGAACACTTTGTACCCTGCCTAATTGGTACTAAGTCGTATAAATAGGGGAATGCATCTTTGGATGACATTTCACTAATTTTATAAATACAAGTGTTCGTGGATCGTTTGTATGTTAATCTGAATTTAAACGAGTTAAAATGATCTATTTTAATCAAACTAAGGAAGCTTTTTTGTCTTTGTGGATTTCCCCCGCAGCTTAGGTGGAACTCGACAAAGGCCTCCTTCCGGAGGAGCCTAAGTCATCAGTGAGATACCACTTTGGAAGGGCTAGAATTGTAACTTTCTGTCAGGACCTACGGGCCAAAGAAGTGAGGGACAGTCTTAGATAGATAGTTTTTATGGGGCGTAGGCCAACAGATGGGTGCAAAGGTTTCCTCATGCCAGATAGAAATTGGCTTTCAAGTGCAAAGGCAGAAGAAAGTTTGACCATGCTAAACAAGGACACGAGCTTGATTTAAAACGTCGTAAGATAGTTTAATTTATATAAAGTAATAATAAAACCATTTCAATTTTTAGTTTGGATGACTTGAGTTGTGCGCGTATTGACCAGCTATGAAATATGTACAATCCACGATTTCAAACTTATTAGACGTGTTATATTTTCTTCGACTAACTTTGTTATTCATAATTCTAATTAAGAACAAAGTAAGATATTAAGATATATTTAACATATTTCATTACTCATTGAGCTACCTTATCGTCAATATCTGATTATCTCAAGCTTCAATTAGCCTGTTATCTTGTATCTAATCCAAATTAATTATAAGTTAGCCCATCATTAGCGCTAATTAATCAGTTTTTAAGAATTGAAAGTTTTATTTCCAAAATTGCCTGGACAACCCTTTAACTTTTGTTCTGACAAAATCTCACCCTTCAATTTGCGATTGCGTGTAGAAGATCCCCAAATGCCCAAAAACTTTATTCCTTTATTTCATTTTTGGTCCAATTGCTAGTTAATTCATATGCTATTAAAAGGTGCCATAATAACTTACATAACTATTTTGCAGCAAGAGTTAAGTCTATTTATGGCAATTCATGAACAAGTGACCTTTAGAGGAAGAAGAAATCGAAACAAGATTCATAGATGAACTTGTGGAAGGATTATTGTCAAAACCTACAAAACAGAATGACTCGTGAACATATGTAAACACTAGAGAGCCGCACCGTTGGGGTGCTTGGGTCCGCCTCCCTGCGTCTCTCTCCTATCCTCCTCGCACAATCTTGTGCAAGTCGGTTGATTATCGAACTCCAGTATGTGCAGGACAGAGCCAACATAGAGTTAGGGGTTCATCTCAATCATCTTCAACGAAAAATATTATTATTTATACACAGTTAAAATTATAAAGAACATAGCAACATGCAATATTTGATGTAAATTATAGGATCTCGTTAATCAGTTGTTGATTGATCTTTTAATATGTTAATTTCAAACAACTTTCCCTTGTTCCACTTCTTCCTAGCTACTTTTCATTTAATATGTATTTATTTTACTGCATAAGTATTAAAAAAAGTGTATATATAATAAATTATAAAAATTGATCTTTATGTTCCTTATATGAGATTAGCTATCTTCTTTCAAATAATGAACAACGCAAAAGCACTTAATAATCTCAAAGATAGTAAGAATGAGTTCGAAGCCTAATAAGTATAAAATGTTAACAAAAATTTTAAAATGGTATATAAATTTTAAATTTAATCAATACAGTAAAATCATTGATAGAGTAGCGATTTTACTACACAAAAATACGAAGGATTATTTTTTAGCAATTTTTAAATAAAAATTAAAAAAATTATGAATATCACTGCTGACAACGATTTAATTGAATTTTTTTTAAAAAAAGAAGCTAAATCGCTGCAGTGCAGCGATTATTTTTTTAAAAGAATTTGACTTAAGTTGCTGCTTTGCAGTAATTTAAGTTAAAAAAATAATTTAAAAAAATTTGGTACACGAACGCTGCTAGCCAGCGATTTGCTTTTTATTTTTTATTTTTAAAAAAATTCTAATAAATAATAAAAAAAAATTAAGATAAAATACTGCTAGGCAGCGATTTATTAAAAAATTATTTTAAAAAAATTTATACTGTAAATCGTTGTCATGACAGCGATTTCATTTTAAAAACTTTTTATTAATAAAAATAATTAAATTTAGCAAATCGCTGGTGTTGCAGCAATTTTTCTTTTTCAGGCGAGCAAAATTTAAAATTTATATATCATTTTAAAATTTTTGTTAATATTTTATATTCATTACACTTCGATCTAATATGAATATTTTTCCTATTCAATTTATGTAATAATGAAATATATGTTTCGAAATTTAACAAGTTCATCTAATTATATAATTAAACACATAGAACATAAATAACAAAATTTCAACAAAGAGAACACAATAAATAGGAGTAAGAAAGGGGAAAAAATCACATAAATGTAAAGAAAAAGACGGGTCATGGACTGTTCTTGAAACATTGTCAGGTTGGGTAAGAATCCGATGAGCCCACAATAAAGCCCACCCGATTCACTACTTTTTTTTTTCAATTTCGTTTCATATTCGATATTTATATTGAAAGTTACTAATATGATTTGCGCCTCTACTATAGTAAAAAAAATAATCCGTGTTGAGACCTCTAATTAAGATGAAATCAACCTTATCCAATGTTTTGCACACGGAGTCTTATGGTGGTAGAATTTTGAATAATTTATTTACTCGAAATCTTATTATTTACGTAATGAATTGTAAAATATTAGTTCAAATGATCAAATTTTGAATTGTTTTTCGTGATTTTAAAGTAATTGCCATCACTTTCTAAGATTAAAAAAAAACATTTTGATTAAAAAATTCATAATTAAAGCGCAAAATAACTTTAATGATGAAAATTCGATAAGTGAAAAACTTCAATATGACATATTAAAGTTCAAAATATACTAGATATTTATACTTCATATATGATCCAATGACATATGGAAGTTTAAACTTTCATCTATTATGTTTACTCTGTTTCAATTACCTTATTAATTTACTATTGTTTTTAGTAAATCTTATATTATTTGTTATATTTTCTTCTTGCTTGTATCTAAATTTATTGTAGTTGAATTGAGAATTCTTTTAGAACAGCCTTTCAATCGCAACGAGATGTTATGGGTCTCTCAATAACAATTTCTATCTTCACGAGATAATAAATTTTCTTACATATGTTATATTTTTTACAATATTCATAAGTAAAATTACGTATATTATATTCTTTTCAAACCTCACCGATAAAATTACGCTGAGATATGTACTCCAAATATCACCTAGAGTTAAGGTTTATAAATATTTTATGTATTTACTTTGTGCTATATTTGGTACCTTAAAATTTGGTAAGTGCACAAAAACCAAAGCAAATATTGCTTTAAGGCAGCGGCTACTCAGAGAAAAGGGCAAATCCTTTTTATAGAGTCAAAGATAAGGAAGACTACAGTAGTACACACAGTTGCAGAGAAGACCGCCATTGAAGCTCTTGATAAAAACTCCATATAAGAAACAATTAACTCTGGAAAATTCCAAAAAAGAAGAAGAAAAGAGAAGGAAGTATATAGAAAGCTTCATTTTTCACTTCAAATACTTCCATTTTTTCTCTTTTTTTTGTTAGTGTTTTGAACCTCATTGGTGGGGTTACTGTGGAGTAATCTCTGTTTAAATTGTGGGGTTTGTTTAAAAGTTTCAGTTGGAGTTTGCAGCATTAACGAAATTCGAGAAACTGTAGAAATTGAGCTTGGGGTTGTCTTGTTGAGTCTCATTCTGGAATTGGGTTAGCTGTGTTGTATCAAAGTTGGGTTTGGTTTGTTTTTTCTGTGAAATGGATAATCTGATAGAGTGTATTGAAGCAGGAGAAGCTAGATCCGAGAATTGCGGAGCTAGAATGGGAGAAATTAAAGATGGGTTTCATCAATTTGGTGAGGAAATTTTGTCTGTTACGTCGGAAGGTGGAAGTTCTTTCACTGCTTTACTTGGGCTTCCGCCGAATCAAGCGGTGGAGCTTTTGGTTCAGTCACCGGAAACTGACAAAATAGCATCAGATAAGCTTGCTATCAGTGAACCTCACTATCGTTATCCTCCTCCTCCTCCGATTTTTCCTTCAGATATCGCTTTGATCGATAGAGCTTCTAAGTTCTCCGTCTTCGCCGCCGCCGGTAACTCCCCGGAGTCCAATTCAACCCTTTCGAATTCCGGGTCGAAATCACTGTTCGTCAAGCAAGAACCCCTAGATTCCGAATGTAACCACAACTCATCTCCGGCGACTTCCAATCCACTAGTCCATCAGAAATCAACAAAGAGAAAGGAACGCGAGAAAAAGGTAATTTCAACACCCCATGACGAAGCCAGAATTTTCATTTTCTCTGGTAGTAAAGTAAACACATGAACTAGCCGAAGGCCTAAAGAATAGTGTTAACTATGTATAAATAGTATAATTTTCCGATGAATGATACTAATTTCAGTACAATTTATGTGAAATTCAGGTAAAAGAAACTTCTAAAAAGGGGAAAAAATCAGCTAACGATACCTCAGAAGACGGCGGCGAGAAGCTACCATATGTTCACGTCCGAGCGCGTCGAGGCCAAGCCACTGATAGCCATAGTTTAGCAGAAAGAGTAAGATTAAGAGCTTCTAATGTTTTGCTAAACATGGTAATTAGTAATTACATATAATTAAGCTTTTAATTATCTTGATTATATATATATGTCTGTAGGCAAGGAGAGAGAAGATTAATGCTAGGATGAAGCTACTACAAGAACTGGTCCCAGGATGTAACAAGGTAAGCTGTCACTTTTATCAGTATTAATTAATCATTAATAATTGTTTAATATGTTGTACTGATTGTTAATTAGTACTTAATGGGGAAAAATATCTGTATTGTGATTGCTTTCATTGCATCATTGATTAGCTTTATTGGTGCAAAATCAGTCATTTTCACCTTTTTCTTAATGAAAAAAGGTGGTGGGTTTAGCACCAAGAAAAGTGGCGAACAATTTTACTGTTGTTTCAGCTTTATTGCCTTGCATTTGATGGGTAATAACTTTTGAGGTGATAAGAAGTTTTAAGAAAGTAAAGTTTACTTTTGAAATTTTGTGGTGTTTAAACATGTCACGTGTATAGTTAGAAATCAAGATTCGTGAAAAAAAGACTTCCTTTTTTTAAATGAATTTAAAAGAAAATTAAGATAAACAAATGGAAATGGATGGAGTACTTTTTGTGTCATTTCCACAAAGGTGTTGTAACTCCTTTTTATAAAGGAAAATTGTTACTTTCTAAGTTCTACTTTTCTTAGAATAATTTTGGGGAGCGGATGTTTTATTAGAACAGAATTGCGTCCTAGGGTGTGACGTAGTGGTCTATAAAATGAGTCAAGAACAATGTGATTTCAAGTTCAAACCTCGGGGAAAGGCTAATACACTAGGTAATTCCTTCATATATATATCGATACTTGCGTTGGTGGAAGTAAGCACATAACTCGTAAAATTAGTTGAGGCGATATACGCCACGATAATTAATTTTTTTCTAGGGGTTGGTTTTATGTCTGTTTCAACTGTCAGCTTATTTTTTGGATTCATGTTGAGAAAACAGATATCTAACCTAATCTAAACCCAAAGGCGAATGCTAGTTCAATTTAGAAGTAGAATGAGAAAGGCCATAGTCCACACACACTTGATCATAGCAAAAAGAAAAATTATCAACAAAAAGGAACCATGGCGAAAAGAAAATGCATATCTATGTTGAGAAAATGAAATTTTTGCTTACCTCAAAGGCTCAAGCCCAAACGGTTGCTCGACTTAGGATTATTGGAGTATATATAAAGAGGCTACTAACCCAGCCACTTGTGACTTGACCAATTTGATAACTCTTAAATGATATATGTAAGAGTTTGATCCCTTGAACAATAGGTTCTTTTGAAATGGTTAGTTCCATCTTAAATTTTTTAATTGTGTTTGTTATGTTGGGGAACCATTATTTGAATAAGGAACCAGTGGTTTGGAGCATTTTAGGTGGTGATTTATGAAAAAGGATTTTGGTTTAAGGAGAAAGATTAATAGAAAGGAAAAAAAAAGAGAGACACTATTTTGCTCACTTATTCCCCTGGAGTTATTTTGCTGTGAACTTCCTTTCTTGGCTGACGAGGGCACTTACCTGGTGGTTCATAATCCATACATCTATGACATGATTGCTTATCAGGATTACTTCTAATTTATCTATACACAGTCCACAGAAGATTTAGAAGGATGTGTGTTTCGATTCTGTTTTAATTTGTTGTGCTGTGGTTTAACATACACTGGCTATTATGAGGCTAAGCAGAAATATATGGTGATTAATTAGTGGGTAACTCTGAAGATCTTACAATTAGTGAATTCTCAACATTGAACATAACCAAAAATTTTAAGCACGTTCTAAGGTTTGGACTATATTTGCAGATTTCAGGTACTGCAATGGTGTTGGATGAGATCATCAACCATGTACAGTCCCTACAGCGCCAAGTGGAGGTCAGATCTCGGAAATCCTTGCATCTGATTTATTAGTGCTAAATCTACAGAAGACTATTTTGATTATGATATTTTAGGTGTAAATGAAAATCTGATGTATCCAGATTTCACTCCACTACAACAATATCTCTCATCTCTAAATAGTCACTTCTTCCAAAACTGAGAGCCCCCTATGCAGGTTAAGTGCCTTGACCCGACACTCCTCAATTCTTGCAGTAGTTTGCTTAAGCTATAAACAAGAGAGAAGAAAACTTTTATTATCGACTACCTGAGGTAGGTGCATGGTTAATATACAGCAGTTCTTTGATTTTTCATCAACTCTCTTATTAGCATACAGTCATAAGGAAAAGGAGAACCGATGAACTCATATCTGAGTAGCGACTCTGCCTGATTGAGGAAACACAATCATAGTGAACTCATATCTGAGGAGCGACTCGGCCTGATTGAGGAAACACAATCATAGTCTGAATATGTCAGTGTGCACTTAAACATATATAGGAAGTCAATAAAAATTTCAGCGATCTTGCTTAATAATCAAAAATGATATTGGGGTGTGGGAGCCTGCATGTAGTGGCTTAGCATGTTCAGTCCTTACACAGACGAATACATTTGCACCTCCTGCATCTTTTGACATTATTTTGAGAACGTAGGCAAAAGATACAGACCAGTGGGAATCCCACATATGAACCTTCATGACCTTCTAGAAAGTAACTTTTCCTCTCTCACTTGGTAATATAGATGCTTTATTTGGTTTGCTTGATCGTTTTCCTGATTGAGATCTGTTTTGGTTGTAGTTCTTATCAATGAGACTTGCTGCGGTTAACCCGAGAGTTGATTTCAACCTCGAAAGTCTTTTTGCAGCAGAAGTAAGTTCCATTGCTTGTCAACTTCATTATTATTGTGAGCTTACTCAAATGATGCTGTGTTTTATGACTTCTCTTCATCCTATTTCCTCAAATAAATGCTGTGTTTTATGATTATTTCGTTAGCTTGTATCCTCTGGGATGACAGCCCATCTGTTTATCTTCAATGTCAGCTTATAAGACCACCTAAAAGATGAGATTTCACAATAACAGTGTTGTATAATTACTCGCTGTAATTTTTCTTGATCCCCGCATAATATTTTGAAATATGCGCCTCTTGACTAACAAAAATGCCAGAGTAGGGTCAATGGTGGACCACCATAATTGTCTGCATTACTATGCAGATTTACACTTTCAACTGTCCTTTCTGATATGTGGTCACCTGAAAGTTGCCTAGTGAGTTGTGACCATACCACAATGTTGTTACCCTCTAAAGTTACCTCTCTGAGTGGGTCCTTTATTTAATACAACCTCAGGAGAATTGGCCATATTATACTTCCTCTCAACAGTTCTGCAAGTTTCAACTTCTCACGTCATGACATCTAGAACACTGGAAACGACAACTTTTGTACATTATCATGTTCCACTGCAATTAAATTACAAATAATGCCAGCTTGTGTGTTGGATTGTGATAGTTCAAAGATCTCAAGGCGACACTTTTCAGTCTTTGTTTCTAGTTATTACATGACTAGCTTTAGAGTGAGTAATTAATTGCTTATAATGTCTAAACATGTATGAAATAATCTTCCTGACGTTCAAAACTTCTGATCATTTCCTTGAGAATTTCAACTTTCTTTTTGAAAATTAGCGGAGTGGTTCCCATGTGGAGAGTAACTTACAAGACATGGTTGTGCCGCCTATCTGGGCTGAGGGACAAAGCAGCGGAAACAGAAACCAATATCAACATCTATGGCTTATTGAAGGGTTCCATCAGCCTGCCTGGGGAAGGTTAGAAGACAATTCTAGCTTTGTTACACCAGAGAACTCGCTGTTGACATATGATTCCTCAGCAAATTCAGGTAAATCCCAACTTAATGGCCTCCGTTTTGATAATTTCTCTAAACTTAAAACTTGAACAGAATGAGTTTTGTAAAGAAAACTGATATGGAATGCAGCACGAGTCAAAATGAGCTTCAAAGCTAATCGTTATATGAAATTCTTTGCAGCATCTTTACATCCAAATCAGCTGAAAATGGAGCTATGAAAGAAGAAGCAATTCTTTTACTAGTGATTAGCTGTATATATATCGGACATATTAGTTGGTAGCAGCTGGTGCGAGAGAAGAGAGTTATCAAGAATTGAGATTTTGGGTTTCACCTTCTTCTAATCAAACAGCAAGGAGGAACTCCAGTTTGATCTCCGCTAGAGAGGGAGAAAATTACGCGTATCCCTTATTTCTATTTATATATAACATATATGTACGCAGAAAGATCTGTCTATACGAACATAGGGTCATTCACTCAATCTGATACTTGGTACGCCAGATGATTGATTGATTGATTCGTAGTTGTAAAACAAGAACAAGAACAAACTAGTGGTGACTATCACATTGTTAAGCAGGCAAGGTTTCGTGCTATTTGCCTCTTCTGCTGAAATTCCTTGTGCTGTAATTGTGAGAGAACTTGAGAAGCAATAAATAGAAGAATATTGGAAAGTTGAGAAGGCTTTACTATCAGGGAGAGAGAGAGTTTCGAATTGATCCTTCTCTACTTAAATATCAAGTTTTTGTTTATCGCAATATTTGAACTTGTGATGAGTTGTGGCACTACAGTGGTGCTGCAAATCTATCACTTGCTACGCTCTTGCAACAAAACCAAAACACACCCGTGTCTGATCCTCTAAAAATGCTCATCTTACGTCAAACCCGTGTATCATTTTCGAAAAATCCAAGCAGTACCCCTAGCTGTAACTAATGCCTCCAACTCATAACATCTATAACAACATAGCCTCTGAGTGAATGAATTGATAATATAACATATGGTACCAGATAACACAAGCAAGTTGACAAACGATGAATGAACATGAAACCACTAAACATGACATTTTGTTTTTCCTTTTTTTTTTTTAAACGTTATCAATGGATGGTTGAAAGAAAGATTGAGAAAGAACAAGGACGACAAGTCCAAAGATGATATCCACCAAGCCAGCATAAATAACAACTTACAAACTGGAGATAGAATGAATGTGCCCCAGTTTCATCACTTATACCATCGAAATCTAAGGGACACCTTATACGACGAAAAGGCCAACTTATAGGAAGACCCAACAGATTTTAAAGCAAGAACATCATACTTCAGTTCATATAAAACATTGAATAGATGCTTCCTAGATCTTGTTTAGCTTTTCTGCTACAACAACAGGATTTGCTTTAGCAATAGCATCCCGTCCAGCATTCTTATAGTCAAATGGGCACTCGTGCTTGTCAGAATAACGGTGAGCCGCACAGAAAAGATTCCCACACTTGCAATTGAATCCTGTCAAGCCAACACGCTTGCGGCAAGTAGTGCACCTAGTTGGGCCCTCTTTTGGCTTCACCTCTGAACTTGGACCTGAAGATAAATCAGAAGATGCTTCTGTAGAGATAACCTTCAAGTCTGCTGATCCCGGTTGAACATTGATTGCACCAGTCGCAATAGGCTCTTTGCCATTGCTGCTTGAGTTTCCATTTACTATGTTTTCAATTGATGTTGCTGCAAATTTAGCTTGTTCCTGCTTCAGTATCATGTCCTTGTGACACTTGGAACACATATTCATAGTGGCTGCACTACCAAAGAACCCGCAGTTGTTGATGCAAAGGATGGGACCTTCGGGAGCTTGGCAGCCTGTTTCTTTGGAAGACTCCATTTTGTGCAGCAGTTAACCTGTCACTTGCCACACCATAATTTCATTACACAATTTTTCCATCATCATAACAAAAAGAACACAAGAGGTTCCTCCTCAACTAATGAACACCGAAATGATCAAACATTGTTTGTTGTCACGAAAACACAAGGAAGTGGTAAAGACCGACAAGAAGACATCACTCTAAGCTTGTGGTAATCAAAGACTTGCACTTCAGTCATTGTCATTACGCCATATCACTTATTATAAATCATTTAACATGGAATTCAACAATCAAGGTAGCCATTGAAAGGAGCATGACCAATAAACTTGATTATCTACACAAATACAACAGTCTAAAGAATATTTTTCTTTTGCGTGTTACTCATCGCATACAGCATGAACTTGCTCAATCAATTTCTTTTCAGAACTCAATGAACAGATAGATTTTAGAGATGCCATGACAGCTTTTGTTTGAATGATTATCCAAGATCAGGGCACTCCTTTATGTTGCTAAATTGTTTAATACTTCTCAGCATATACTCTATAACCTGGATCAACATACGATCATCTCGAAGCGAATGGTATTTATGTAACATCACCAACCATCACCCTCACAAACAGACTCAAAAAATCAAAGTTTCTTAAACTAGAGCTCCTGTTAAGAAACTGAAACTTCACAATTCAGTAAACGATAGCACAACAACATAGAAATCAAAAAGGTGAGGTTTGAGGAGGGTAAAGTATATGGCATAAAAGACTGTCACTTCAAACAACCACCAAAGCAACATCCCAAAAGCTAGATGCACATGTTTCTGTCTCCATATTCCTTCTACATCGTTTAAATAAGACGATGAACAGAAAAACAACAACTTTGTCTATATAAGTTTAGCATAAAGGGAGAGGATTGCAGTGCGTTGATGATCGGGTTGGACATAGCGTTACTATAGTTAAACTGCAACAAATCCTGTAACGACTACTAATGATTCACATAGCTGACACCAACTAGATTCGGAATTGGGATTGAGGCATTGTTGATTGATTCATGTACCAAAAGAGCCAAAATAAGAACATATCAACCACAATTCAGCACAGAACATATACAGTTCGCTCAGATGATTCAGATACCACCAAGACTTCACCATCAACAAAGGTACAACAAATTCTCATCTACAAACACAAAATCAGCAAATCCCCCACTTGGGTTATAAAGCAATATTCCTAAAAATCAAAACTTTATACAAATAACACCTATACCATACAAAATTAAGAACCAAAACAATCTAAATCTAACAAAGCACCCAAAAAAACTTTTTTTTTAACACATATATACATGCTCAATTTTCCCTTCTTTCGGAAAATTCAAACAAACCCTACAAAAAAATCATCAAATAACTCAACCCCACCAATCTAATCAAAATTTTTCCCCGATCTTCAGTCACGAATTCGAAACCCATAAAAGAGAGGTCCTTGAATCCCCAGATTAACCAAAAAATTCAAAAAAAAATCGCAAAAAACATAAAATTAACATCAAATATTACGATGCAAACAAAAACGAACCAAAATTCCTGGTATACCTGAATCGAAGAATCGAAAGGCGAAGAAAAGAGGGCGAAATTGAGAAAAATTGGAGAGAGACCTGAAAAGAGAGGAAGAAAGAGAAAGGAAGAAGGATTGAATTGTAAAAAATGAAGAAAATTATTTTCGTTTCGTTTATTTATATTTAAATTTATACATAATACATGAATACGTATCTCCGTATATAACTAAGCACTTAAACTGAATACATGTAAAATATAAAATTATCATGTAACATATCAAATTATCAATTTATTAAATTTTATATAAATTTAAATGTTTATTTATATGTATCAAAAGTTAAAAATTATAATTGTTAGCTGAAATCAAGTTGAGAATTATACGTTTATCTATTATGGGTTAAATTTAATTATTAAATTTCTTTTTTAAGAAATTCTTTTATTTAAGTATAATTTAGGAATGGTAATTACTTTCAAATCAAACAAACGCTTTTGGGAGTTTGCACGCCTTCTTTTCTTCACCTACCCTTACCGAACTTGTAATTTACCGTTTTGCCATTTCTTTTTCCTTACGAAATCCTCATGTATTAAATTAAATTAATCTCGGTTGTAAATTTATTGTCATAATTTAATATGTTTTGTGTATTCTTTTTTCTTTTCCTTATTTTAAGGCTAATAATTTCGTTGACTGGTCTTCAATTATGTTATGAATAAAATAAAATATGGTGGAATAAATATACGTCGAGTAAATGTCACTAGCCATTAACGAGTTGTATCAAATAAATTTATTTAAGTAAACAATATTAGTAAATTAAAATAGGTTGAGTTATGACCTCTTCCGCGTTTGACGTTGAAATTTGGAAAAAATAATTGTTAAGCAGAATTAGATATATATAAGAATGTGCAAATATTTTAGTTAAAAAGTATGAGAGATTGATAATAATAGAGTTGCGCAGAAAAATAATAAGCAAAAGAAATAATATTAAAAACGGTAATTAAACAATACGAGACATGTTATTCTTTCAACTAATGGAGAACATCATCACATACGGACAAAAAAATAAGATTAGAAAAATAGTATGCAGATAAGTTTGTTTAGTTTATCATTTTTGTATTTGCATTAAACATTCTTTTATAATAATGGTTTCACGATTTCTATGTTACGTGTTGCTTTGCTTAGTATCATTCTTATTAGCATATGTTATTTAATTTCTTGCTTTGGTCTATTGTTCTATTTGTTATTGGTATTGTTTCAATATTTTCATTTTCAAATTTATGAGATTTACAAAATAACTTTTTTATCTTTTACTCTGTAGGAGTAATGTGATTATGTATGTACTATTTTTTTTAAAGTAATATTTTTTTTATTTAAAAAATAATAATATCCTTGCCATTTTCATTTGTTTAAAAAAGAATAATTTTTTCTGATAATATTTTAAAATCAGCTTTTGAGATGTTTAAGATGACAAGATCAAAAAATAATTTTGTATATTTAATTTAATTTTTAATTAAGGACAATAACATATAAAAATCTTCTTTATACTTTTAAATTTCGTGTCAAGTCAAAATAGATCATTCATTTTAAAACGGAAAAAAGTATTTCATTATTGCACGTATACTAAGTATGTTATTGTTAGATATATATATTGTTAAACATCAAATATATCTTCAAAAAATATTTCACACTCAAATTAATCGAACGATTCTAAAGTATTATACCTTACGTGGCCAAGATCTTAACCGTCCATAAATCTCTAGTGTACCCTGGCGGGAACTCGAAGGCCTTGAGGATCAAATGGCGGGAATCCTTCCCCTTTATAAAGTCCTGATTTGCAAGTAAATTAGCAAAATTGCATTCAAATTGCGAATTGTCGATTGCTTTTGCGTGCTCAAGTAGTGTAAGTATCTTCCGATTTGTCGTATGGGAAAGGGAAAGAAGAAGGCTAGGGTTCCGGTGGAGAATTTTGAAGAAGACGCCGATTCCGATGACGTTGAAATGAATGGAAATGAAGAGAATATGAACGGATCTTCTTCTAGCGAAAAGAGTCTTTATGAGGTACTTGTAATTTTCCTTTCTGAAGTTGATAATTTCAAGCGATTTTTTAAACCTTATGGAGTTGGATCTAGTAACTTTAGTGGCGCAAATTATATATATGTATATATATGTTTGTATGTGCATGTAGCAGATATGAAGTTTGTCTTAATGTATGATTTTGGTTTATGTCTGTATTTCAATTATATTCTAGATTTATCATGATTGGGGTTTTCCAAGTAATTGTAGTGTTTTGAGTTGATATAACCCGATGTTGAAGATCTGTACCAATTTGCCCTCTTTATTTGACCCTGAAGAATGTTGTGCTTGTACTTGTATTGAATGAGATTGGCTAACAAGTTGATCAATGTGTTTTTGATGTGAAAAAGCTTCAAATTTCTTATGAACTTTACTCAGTGGTGGAGCTTAAGTGTGTGTGGGAAGGGGGTTTAATTGAATAACATTAGTGTCAAATAGCATAAAAGCAAATCCTTTGGTTTATATAGTTTACAAAAGAACTATACAAGAAGAAAAATATATCATGCGAATTAGACTGGAAAACTTTAGGATAAACTCCCTTTATAGATATGTATATTCATGTATTTATTTTATATTCATATATACTGCCAAGTTGATTTCTTTGTAGCTGTACAAAGAATGTTGAACTATCTGAAGTATGTGAAGTGCCAACTAGTTTAGTGCTGCATTTTCCCTTAAAGATCATTGAGTTCATAGTTGTAATGATTGAGCACCGCTGCACTGGCTAGTGACTCCTTACGTGGATTTTTGTTCAAACTGCAACTTTTGGATGTCTTGTTGGATATGGGGGTATTAATTGCTATTGCTTACAGTATGCAAAAAGAAATATATATGAAACAGATTTGATTGGAGAATTCTAAGATAAATTCCTCTATATATACTATGTAAATACTGGCATGCATAACTGTAGAATAGACATGTGATATGCTTACTAATGAAGTCATATAAATAAACTTTCACAAGTAGAGCCCATGGAATAATGGTTTCAGAGATGTTTCCACAAACTAAGTACACTCTTTTCTTTTTGGTGTTAAGTTACTGCAGTTTGTGGTTTAATTTGTTCAATGAAGAGATGTAATACTAACAAGGCATCTACTTTGCAGATTCTTGGGGTTGAAACAACAGCATCCCAGCAGGAAATAAAGAAGGCATATTACAAGCTGGCTCTGCGTCTTCATCCTGATAAGAATCCTGATGATGAGGTAAATGGCTATATGATTGAGTATGTTTTGCCCTAGTTTGTTGTATACATAAGCTAATTTGAAGATGAACCATCTTAAATTTACATTATAGGAAGCAAAAGAGAAATTTCAGCAGTTGCAAAAGGTGATATCAATTCTTGGAGATGAGGAGAAACGAGCTCTTTATGATCAGACTGGCAGTGTTGATGATGCTGTGAGTCATTGCTGTGATTCCTTTTTTTCTTCCTGTGATCTTTGCAAACTTTGATGACATTTTGAAAATTCTTGCGTCTTCAGTATGTTGGAACTTCTTACTTATGCCTTTTGCATATGATGGTGCATAGTAGTAAAAAGGTTGTTTCATTGTTTTGACAGTGAGCCAAAATGTTGTTTCTATCATGTAATGGTTTCTGAAGATTACTGTTGAGCTGTGTTTGGGGGTATCAACTCTCTTCTAGAGAGTAGAGCTTAAATCTGACCATACCGTTTTCTCTAGAAACTAATATTCGAGCCAATTCTTTATCTCAACCTACTATTGTTAAGGTGAAAAGGAGGGGGCAAGTGAGGGTGAATAAAAGGAGTTAGTGCTGTGCTGTTTGACTTCATTTCTTCTGGATTGTAAAAGAAAGGGGGAGTGCTATTTGGCCCCTCCATGTTAGGGAACGGAAGGAGTAAGGAGACATGATTAACTTCCTTTGTGTTGTATACCAATCAAAGGGTAAGGATGACCATCTTCCCTTGGGGAAATAATCAACTTCCTCTCCCCTTCCTTGAACCAAACATAATGTTTGGCTGTGTGTTATGCATATCTTTTTCATATAGGTTTAGTCTTTCACACTGTGCACAACAAGGTTAATGTTACAGTAGACATGCATGTATGGTGTCATTTTATGTTGATCTAGCTTGTACACAAGTATAACTGATGTCAAACTCGTTGTAATATCACTCTTATATATTGGGATTCTCAAACTGCAGCGATAGTAAACAAGCTTTTCAATATGAATTCAAGAATAGATAATAGAATGGTCTTTTTGGCTGAAATACTAATTGGGTTCACCTAACTGGTACCTATCTAGAAAAAAAGGTTCTTATTATCATCTGCCTTTTAACAGGACTTGGCAGGAGATGTCGTTGATAACTTGAAGGAGTTTTTCCGAGCTATGCATCCAAAGGTAACAGTTAACTAATTACTCCACTTCATTAATTGAGTAGTAGACACTCTTAACATTGGAGGAACGTATATGTCTTTTTCAGATAACCGAGGCGGATATTGACAAGTTTGAAGCTAGTTATAGAGGATCTGAGTCGGAGAGGACAGACTTGATTGATCTATACAAGAAGTATAAGGGTAAAATGAAGAGGTATGAGCTGAAAGCGAGATGCAATTTGCTATTTCCTCTCTATTACTTTGATTTCTAGGTCGCCACATAATATGCAATCTTCTGCAGGCTCTTTTGCTCCATGATTTGCTCCGATGTCAAATTAGATTCACATCGCTTCAAAGATATGCTGGATGAAGCTATAGCAGCAGGTAGAGTTTAACTTCCATCCTATTAAGTATCCGTACATCACAATTCGTCCTCTATGATGCCCTTACAGTTATGGAATAGATGTGTTGGGTTTGATCTGAACGTGTTTAGCCAACTGTTTTCTGCATTAAGTTCCTGTTCCCTTTTCTCCTTTAGCAATAGTTGTTTTTGAGGTTGCACAAAGCCTTCCCTCGTAAAACTTTGTTTCTTTCTTCACTGGGAAGTGATCTGACACTTGTATTTTTGCATTGACAGGGGAAATAAAGTCGACCAAAGCATATGAGAAATGGGCAAAGGAAGTGTCTGAAACAAAACCGCCTACAAGCCCATTGAAACGTAGACAAAAGTGAGTCCTCTTATATCATATAATGCATCATCACTAACTGAAACTCTGAAAGTGCTATAATCGGAGAAATTGAAATGTTGCAGATCAAAGAAAGAACCAGACGATTTGTTTGCTATTATTTCTCAGCGACAAAATGAACGGAGGGGCAAAATGAATTCTATGTTCTCATCTTTGGCTAGCAAATACGGTGGGGATCCATCAGCTACAGAGCCAAGTGAGGAAGAATTCGAAGCTGCTCGAAGAAGACTGGAGGGTAAAAGGCAATCTAAGCGAAAGTAAATTTTTATATAATGCAAAACCTCTACACCATGCTGCAAAATGTTGTTTATCCTGTGTTTTCTTGTACTTAGCCATTATGTATTAGGTTTTGCTTCTTTGCTAATCGTATATCTACTTTGCTTAAAACATCAACTTTTAGACTAAGCTCTTAATTCAGTTGACAGATGAACTAATTCATTGACTAAAGACAAATGAAAATAGACAAGTTAATTACATGAGTAAGGAACGCAAATTCTAGGAAAAGTATATCATGATTTAATGTAACTTTTGGGAATTAGGCCGCCTAATTCACTTTTTTAGTTGTAATGGCTGGCAAAAATGGAAAAATATTATAACGATTATTGAAATCATATAATACCAATGATTATTAAAATTTTAGTCCGAATTTCTCATAATACAAATTTAAATTAATCAAAAATTCTTATAAAGATACTTTACCTTTTAATAAAGTCTTACCTAGTGAAAATTTAAATTATTTAGGAGTCTTGATTCGAAAATAATGGAGAGCCTAAAATGATTAGCAGCAATTAATGTGAACAAATAAATAGGTTATGCTGAACTTTACAGCTTTCACATTCCCCAGCTGTTTAATATCTTTCGTTTGGTAAACTACACTTGTCAATATTCTGTCGACAGCTGTTTCCTTCCCCCCTCTATAAATCCACTAACTCTTCAGATCTATTTCCACACATCTGAACCCTAATTTTCTTCATTTCTAAACTCATTCGCCGATCAATCTCCGGTCACTTTTTCTCCTACTAAATCTGTTTATCAAATGGCTAGATCTAGCATTATCAACGTATTCTTCGTTGTATTCATCGTTGCTCTTTTCTCAGCTATGACTGAAACTTCGGCTCAGGAATTAGGATTAGCTCCAGCTCCGGCACCTGACGCCGGTGCGGCTTTCTCCTTGCCGTCTTCCAGTGTGTTAGTTGGAACTTCTCTCATTCTATGTGTTGCTGCTATCTTCAGGCATTAGAATTTTGATTTAGTGGTGATTGTGTGTTTTTTTTTTAAGTTGTGAGACCAGTGTTTATTGATTTTCTTATGGATTTAGGTGTTTTCCGTATGTATTGAGATTGATCTATTGGCAGTATATATTTTCTGATTATAAAATTTTGTTTTGGAGTATAAAAATTGGTTCTTTATTTCCATTTGTTTTTTTTTTCATTCTCTATTGCAAGTGATTGTTCTGTTATTTAAGAAGGTGATTATACCTGAAAAAAGTGCATTTATAGTTTATATAATCTGGAAATTAACAACCTGTAAAGGCGAAAACTAAAGAAAAACAAGGCTTTGAGCTGTTCTTTTGGGTAATTAGAGCAAAACTCAGCTACAGGGTGAAACATGAAGGATAAAACAAAGCTAATGTTCATGTAATTGGTACACATAGGTACTAAAAGCCAAGTAGGGAAACTCGAAGGAAGTTTCATTGGAGTCCTGTAGCTAGAACTTATAATGTTTCTTGCAGTTTAAAGGAAATATTATTTTAGATCAACTTGTCTTCTTGAGGAATAAGAAGATTAGAAACTTTAAACAATGTATATAATATAGTAACATTAGAGACAAGTTCACAAACTATCTGACATATTAAACAATGTAATGCTTATAGAGATAATGACTTGTAAGCATCTCCGTTCAGCCTTTCGAGAAGCTCTCTAAATGGCTAAACTAAATCTGCTCAACATCTTGGAAACTCAAAAACCAGACTTGTTAATACATGGTGTCAAGCAATTATGGGCTGCTGGGGTGGCTTCTTCCGTTGACATCCCGGCTGTTAGATTCTTCACTTCTTGTGCTCCTATTTCAGTCACTTGTTTGTGAAACCAAATGTGGAATTCCCCTTACAAGCTCTTCGATTACATCCCTATTTAACATCGTGAAGACGATGATCCTGAAGAATTTACAGGTGTGATGCTACTAGACACGTCGAGAGAGATGGAAGGTAAATACATCGACTATATGTCCGAAATAATCAAATTTAAGGTCTTGCCAATTGGTACACTAGTTCAACATTCTATGACTAGCGTAGATGGAAACATGGAAATCAGATTATATATTGAATAAGTATGTTGTTAAATATCAGATTATATAATCTCATAGTTCTCATCAATGTCAAAATGACATAGCAGGCATTAAAGTGTGTCAAATGTTTCAAATGAATGAAGTCTACTTCAGTTATCTGATGTCAATTTTAGCGGTACGTCGATTGTGTTTACTTGTCCGTAAAAAGCCAAATTTGAATATTTTTCTATGTATTATGCCTAGGGGTGGGCATGATATGATAAAATACGGTTCAATTGTTAAAACATTATATCATAATATTGAAGTTCGATTTCGGTGTTTTAATTCGGCATGGTTTAGTATATTGAAGTTCGATTTCGGTGTTTTATGGTATGGTAAATTGGTAGCCATAATATGCTTAACTTCAATTAATATATACTCATATAATAGTGTATTATTTCGATAATTTAAAAAAAAAGAAGAGAAAATTACGCGGCTAAGCAAACTTATATTATTTAATTAGTCATCATAGCTATAGTTTGGTATAATTACCACTCGCTAATAACATTATACATTAATTACGTGGATTGAGGTCGGGTTTGTATAATTAGTCACGTTTATATATGTATAATTCATCATGATATACAAAAACATATGTATAATATATAATTAACCTATATACATATACATTCACCTCTCTCCCACTAATTGTCCTCTCTACTCGTCTCTCTCCTCCCTCTCTCAGCTTACTCATCTCTCTCCTCCCTCTCCCAATCTCGCTTGTCATATATATAAATGCATATGTATAATATATAATTATATACATTTACAATTAACCTCTCTTGCTCGCCTCTCTCCTCCCTCTCCCAATCTCGCTTGCCATATATACAAATGCACATGTATAATATACAATTATATACATATGCAATTCACCTCTCTTCCACTCTCCCACTCTCGCCCTCTCTCCTCCCTCTCTCGATCTCGCTTGCCTCTCTCCTCCCTCTCCGAATCTCTCTTGCCATATACAAATACATATATATAATATACAATTATCTAACCAATATACATATACAATTCACCTTTCTCCCACTCTTTCCCCCCCTCTCTCTCAATCCACTCGTCTCTCTCCTCCATATAACATGTAGCTACGAATTGTAATTATTAAATTATAGCTATGGAGAGTAATTTAATTATTTTTAAGTGGCTATATATGAAAGTTTCCCTTAAAAAAAGGTCTCAGTTGTATCATTCTCTCTCTCTATATATACATATTTGTAAAATGAAGAATAAACAACTATTTTTGTTAATCAATTATAATACAAATACATTTTAATCAAAATAGAATTGTCAAAGTTTTAACTTTCGGATATGTAGATCATATACCACATCAAATACCATAACATTAAAATCATGATACTAAGAATTTCAATATGTTATAATATTTTAATATATACCATACGACGCCCACCTAATTATGCTTAAATAATTTAATTATTAAGTGAACCAAATGGCTCAATGACATTATTCAGCATAGAACATGAATAGGTCAACCACCATGTGCCAAACAGAACCTAATCAGCCACCGCCCACGATCTCCTCCAATCATTAGCACCACCGTCTGCCGCCGTCCAACACTGATCTGAGTTGGACTCTTTCAACAGCGTGTCCGCTTCTCCGCCCTCATTTTCCTCGATTCACTACCTATAAATACTCTTCATCCTTCCATAAATCTCCAACAGCAATTAAAAAATTCCTCTGATTCAGCTTAATTCTGTATTTTGTTAGATTAATCGAAAATGGCGCAAGTTAGCATCTTCATGACTTTTGTCCTCGCTGTGATTTTCGCCGCCATCGCTGTCTCTGCACAAGTGCCTGAAATGTCACCGGCTCCGTCGCCGAATGCCGGAGCTGGATTCTCTTTGCCAGTTTCTGGTGCTGTTATTGGAATGTCTTTGCTCATCTCTCTCGTCGCTTTGTTGAAGCATTGAATTTGAAGATGATTGTGAATTTCTGAAATGCTTTCATGCTTGAATTTAATTATTATTCGTTGATTTAATTCTTTGTCAATGTATACAAATTGAAATAAAATTATTTTTCAATTATATGTTATAAATTTCGCGAGTAAGGCAAATCAAAGTAGTTATCGAAGAAACGAACACAACAGAGTAGAGAACATGTCTATTATTATTATTATTAAGGAAAACAGTAGAGTTATATAGTAACAAAAAAAATAACGCTGTAACTGAAACACAATAGACACGATAAATATCAAAAGTAAGAAACTATATGCATAAGGCTCTAATATTACGATAGATTTACCCTTTTAACTATTTGAAATGGAACGTGTAACTTGCTCTGCATAATCTGTTTCTGATGAAGGACTAAAATGCTATAAATTTGCAGGTGTAATCTCTGTTTTCAGATGTGAAGAAATGTGTGTTAGTGTTGTTTTTGTTGTCCATTTGTTGAATGCTGATTCACAGTACTTTGCTTGGCTGGTGTTGAGCGTTCTGACTGAGAAAATCTAATCAAGATTTGCATAAGTAGTGTAACAGCAGCTAACAGTGCAGCTGAAATTGCAACACCCTTCCATGAAGACAGTAATGCTGTTGAGTGTATGAATTTTATAGCACCAAATAAGACGATACATGCCCAAGATGCAATAACCTGTTATTTTGGAAAAGATCAAATTAGTTTGCTGGAGAAATAAAAGAAGTTAAATGTGGTCTAGCGATAAGAGCGCAAAATATGATGTGTGGATTAGGTTAGGTGCCTGTCATGAAGCAGAGGCGGATCCTTGTATGGGTTTTGATATTTGAAGTTATGGTCCATATCTACTGTTTTGTGATCTGCGTTGAATGTACTGGGTGCAGATCAACCTGGTGTCGGTATTCAAACATCTGCCTCTAGTGTGATGTGTGAGTTAGGTACACGTTTAAGTAGAGAAGATAGATAGCTAGCATGTTTCTTACCACGAAGGATTTCACTGGACGGCCAACATTCTGCAGCTGTTGTTCTCCGAAAGTGTCTTCAGCAATATGTTTGTCCAGCAGTTTGTCCTGGTGAAAAGATTAAACGAGAAACAGTTTATATAATGCCCATCTAAACACTAGGTTCTCGAGATACAGTAGACGTTTCCTATGTAGATTCAACATGAAAGAAAGGTAACCTTTGCTAGAAAGATATCTCTACACCATTGAGCAGTGGCTTCATCATTTTCTGGTAGATCTTTCATCTCATGGCGTTTGATGTGCACATGAACCTGCACCATAACAAATAAACATTGAAACTGAACATAACACCTTTCCTCTTGCTATCTTAATGAGCCTATACTTACGTCCTAATCGTTCCCCAACTCATAAGCATGAAACCAACAATCAAGTCATCGATTGATTAACAATGGATAAACTAACTTATTCAGATTAACATAGTGCCAAGACAGTTATAATTTGTTATATTGAAGCAATAAATGACTTGCGGATTGTTTGATATGATACCAGAATTCCAAGTTATTGATAGTTTTGCTTACCACAGAAGATTGACCCTTGAAGATACGCAACATTGTTGGCGCTGGTGAGCTTTTAGGCATGGCAAATGTAACATCATAAATAGCTGGAACAAATGAGCGCATATGACTTACTGCTGCGACAAATCCCTGAAATTACCATATAAATAGACATTTGGTTTCTTTAATACAATCTCATAATAGCTAGCAAGGCAATATGTGACAACACTACCAACTTTAGGATCCATTACAAACTTAAAGAGAATCTCTTGATGATTTGTCTTAGGCATCAGCCTACCAATGATACAACATACAAACTCTACTTCAAATATGATTTAGTTGGGAAAAGAAGGTAACATTTGGTGCTCACCTTGGTACGAGGAATTAACACATTCTTCGGAACAGGTAGCCCTGCTGAGGTTGCATATTCTTGAGCAGCCAAAAGCTTGGCCTGTGTAAAGCGAGTGCCTTCAACGAAAAGTGCCAGCCAGAAAGGTTGAGGGTAATCTCGTAGCCGTTGAAGACCTGACTGCAAATTTGACCCCATAAGTGTCAAATTACAATTAGTTATAAATCAACAAAGACAACAGATCCTGGACACTCATCAACAAGCCAAACTATAGAGAAATGTAAATCTAGTTATGCATTTTGTAGTATTGAAAGTATTTGGATACAAAGATGCTCGAGTATGTTTAAATGTGCAATGAATGACTAAAACGATCAGGCTTAACTATACCTTTATCGTGTTTTCATCCTTGGCCCAGCTTCTTTCAAGGAATAGGTACTCGGAAAACCACATTGACCAACCAAGTACCTGCATAATGAATAAGATTGGTGACCTTAGTAAAGAGACTGAGTAAAAGAAAAATAGTTAAGAAGTGTTTAGGAGCGGTCACAAACAAAAACAAGAGAATAGTGCTAAGATCATGTTGCCTTCCTGTTAACAATATACCACCGTATTCAAATAAATGCGGATACCCTCAAGGCAGGGTAAGTTCTATATACACCGTACCATCCTGAGACCCCACTTTGTGAGATTACACGGAGTATTTTGTTGTTGTTGTAAGCGATTTTCTTACTCCATTTTATGCACAATGAACTTAAGAAACTCCAAAAACACAACAAAGCCATTACTCTTCCAGAATCACAAAACAATTGCAGGATGATATGGGAACTGAGCGCTGCTCTACACTAAGATTTAGAGAGAAATGGATAGCAAGTAGCTTTCCGGAGAGTGGAAATATATATAACATTCATTCCAAACACTTAACTGATCAAAAGAAAGAAAAAGTTTCACTCAAAGAACTTACAGGAAGGAATTTTGAAGATTTCTTCATAACAGCTAATGCGCTACCAAGGCAACTGGATCGCTGCAATTGAAGGATTCAAGAATCAACAAACAGAAGCCAATTGATAATATTTATTAGTAAATCTCCTGAAAGGCCACATCTCCATCAAGCAATAAAAGTAAAGTTCCTCTAAAATTACTAGCTAATTACAAGTTAAAAATCCATAACAAAAACGTATATAGGCGATGAACATATACGTGTATGGAGTTGGATATAAAAGTA